AAAAAAAAAAAAGAAACGGGAAAAAACGGAACCCCCCCCAACCAAAGGGGGTAAAAAAAAAAAAAAAAAAAAAAAAAAAAAAAAAAGGAGGAAGGAAATGTGTCCTGCTCTTCTGTTTTAATCACTAAACAAGCCAGGCTACCTTCACATCATGAAAGGTAAAGGTAAAGACTCCATGGACTAAAATAATACCAGTCAATATCTAGATTGCATTCTAAGAATTGCAGCATCTCACTGGGCCTTTCTGTCTAAATAAATGCTGCTTTGCTATAACTGTATTATAAAACATGCAGCCACAAACATTGTGAGAACACCAGACCTGCACAAAACCCCCAGGAACAGCCATGACTCCATGCAGGGCTGGGTGAGTGTGTGTGTGTGTGTGCGTGTGTGTGTGTGTGTGTGTGTGTGTGTGGACGCATGGATGACTGACAATTTCTCCGCAGAGAACATTGTTGTTTTTAGAAGTGCTGCAGATTATTCTACATGTTCTGACTGTTCGTTATGGACCGGACCGTTAAAGAGCAAAACTGTAAAACTACAAGCTTTTATGTTGTGTTGTAAGCATATGGCAAGTTTTCCTCTTAAAAAGAAAATAATTCACCCAGATTTTTTATGATTTCACACGATAAGAAATGATCTAGAAACAGATTTTCCACACTATTTTATTTTTCCATACTTACTTATGGCACCTTTGCTGCGGCTCTTGTAAAACAAATACATGTTCTTAATTATAAGGACAGTAAGAAAGGGTGGATTTAGCAGTTCTTTGCATGTTTTCATGCATTATCTGCATAAAATATCGCAACACAAAGGCACCAATATTGCAGTTCAAACTGTGTGCTTAAGATTGTAAAGTGGGCAAACTGTCCTTTTTCATTTCTCATATATATAGAAGGGATCACTCAGGTTGCCTTATTCTACAAATAGAAAAGTTCTTCTTACTATTATTATTCCCTTATTAAAAGATACATGATTGATTTTGCTCAAAAATTTGGCAAAATAATTTAATTAAGGGTTA